AGCTAGGGGCCATAGTCTCAGTGGTTCCACCAGGCTCTATTGGACCAGCAAACCTGGTCCCCACCTTCTTTTTTCTTTTTCTCCTCCAAATGATTTTGAGTTTTGTTCCACATTATTCTCCCTCTCGGACATAACTTTTTGGTTCTCATTTTCTGTCTTGGAAACTGAGGGCCTAGGAACTCCTAGAGTGGGTGTGGAAAACTTCAGCCTGCCAACTGTTTGTGTAGCACTCGTGACCTGACAGTGGGTTTTGACTTTTGCTGTTGTTGTTGTGGAGTTGACTGCATGCCGGCAGGATGCAGTGTGGCCCAGTCCTGCGCCGTCTCCACCACCTGTTGCAGGCTGGGCCATTGCAATCCACGGGGTTTTTGAATGGTTGGAAAAATCATCTAACGATCGTACCTCATTGGCATGTTGAAGGTGACGCAAGCTTCACGTTTCTGTGTTTATGGTTTTATTGGAGCACAGCCACCTCGCTCATTTACCTGTGCTCTGTGGCTGTCCTCACGTCACAGAAACTGTGTGACCGCAAAGCCTCAGCATTTATGGTCTGGCCCTTTACAGAGAAGGCTTGTGGACCCCGGTCATGGAACATCCATGCATGTTCTCTCCTGGCTCCAGCATTCTTGGGGGACCAGGTTGGCTTCTGCTAGTTTGGCTTTGATGCCCCTCCTGGGTGTCGGGACAGGTGCCTTCTCTGTGCCTCCTCGCCTGAGGAAGAGGCCAGGTTCCAGGTTCAGTTCTGGAATTTTCTGAAAGGTCCTAGGAAGGGTGGGGCTCCTGAGTCGGGCCCAGAGGGAACCTGGCATGTTGTGTGTGCGTGTTGCCAGCAGACAGACCCCACTGGTCCTGCCCCAGAGGATGATAATGCCCAGGCGTTATTTCTGTCAGATGTGTTGGCTTTGGTCGAGGTGTGTGGAAAGCTGTCCTAAAAGGACAGAGGAGGATCCTGTATTTTCTTGGGTGTTGGGGCAGCTGAGAGTGGCTTATTGCTGTGGTGACAGGAGTTGCTGCTTGTGAGGGCGATGGTGATGGGAGCTGCTGGTTGTGGTGGTGGTGACAGTGACGGGGAGTTGCTGGTCATGGGGGTGATGGTGATGGGGGAGCTGCTGGTTGTGGTGGTGGCTGATGGGGGAGCTGCTGGTTGTGGTGGTGGCTGACGGGGGAGCTGCTGGTTGTGGTGGTGGCTGACGGGGGGTTGCTGGTGGTGATTGATGAGGAAGTTGCTTGTTGCAGCCGTGATGGTTTTCTATTTGGAGACCCCGTACATGGCTTCTCAGGTCTGGGCACATGTGGCAAGTGACGGATCAGGGGTAGTTTCCAAGTCACTGTCAGGGGTTGTGGTGGGCGTTTGGCTGGTCTGAAGGCGCTCTGCCGCCTCTTCCAGCCCAGAGACCCCCAAGGGGCAGCCCTGCTGTGGACACAGGCTGACCTGGCCTGGAGGGGTGGCTCGGCACCCTCACCCCCTTCGTTCCAGGGCAGCCAGGGAGCAGGGAGCAGGAGGGAAGGGGTGGTCGCCTACCAGCACCCCAGAAGCCTCATTCCCTGTGAACAAGGCGGGAATCTGCTTCCTCACTTCAGTTCAATTTAACACTTCCTCACTAACTCTGGAAACTTAGTTCCTAAAGCAAATACGGCAATGGAGGAAGGAGAGAGAAGTCCCCGAAGAGAGAGCTGGCATTTTGGAGTGTCGTCTGTTTTTCAGGTGTGGCTTGTTCTCATCTCACTCATGTGCCACGTGGATGGTCCCTGGTTATTCTGAGAAGAAGGAACAAGTGTCTTGGGGGCTGCTCTGAGCAGAGACGCTGTTTGGTCTCTCTAGTCCTCACTTCCTTGGCTACAAGCCCAGGATTGAGAACCATCCCCTGGCTGAGTTCTGTGCCTCCTGCCTCAGAGGTGTTGGGTGTTAGCATCACCTTAATGCGCTTGGCTATCCTGGGAGCAAAAAAACCAGACACCCACTGCTGTGGAGTTGGTGCTGACTCACAGGGCCCCTGGAGAGGACGAAGTAGGACTGCCCCTCGGGTTTCCAGGGCTGTCAGTCTTTAGGGAAGTAGAGTGCTGTATCTTTCTTCTATGGAGCGGCTGGTGGGTTCGAACCACCAACCTTTCGGTTTAGCAGCCCAATGCTCTAACCACCGTATCACCAGAGCTCCTCTGGGGGTAAAAGGGGAACAGGAACCCTGGACCGTTTTGGTGAGAGGGGCCATGGAGAGAGAACCCCGTCACCTGGCAATTTCCTGGGTTCCCTGGGTGACTTTAGACCCAGGTGTCACTTACAGGTGGAGATGCTGAGGTTTGCAGAGCACCTGGGGCAGGGCGGCGGGCTTCAGAGCCGCCTCTGCCGGGCCCGTCAACCAAGCGGCTCCGGCTGCTGTCCAGCCACAGGGGACAGAGGCTCTCCTTCTCACCATGCGTGCCGTCTGGGTCGCCTCCCCCGGGGCTGGTGGCTTCTCCGACAAGTCTGGCCACAGGCGGCCTGTCGCGGCCCCGCCTGGAATTACTTCTGCCTCTTCCATCTGGCTCTGGGAGCCCAAGAGTTTGAAGCTGCTTTTTTGTCACATCTTCCTTTTAACATGAGCGTATCGGGGATCACCATCCGTCGGAAGCATGTTGCGTCCTGTACGTCTTCGTGTGTCCTGGTTCCTGGAGGTGTGTTCCTGGTCTGACGGGGTTTCTCTCCGCTGTGGCTTTTGTTGTTGATGCTTTGAATTTGCCCTGGTTCTTCAGGGCACAGGATGCGTGTGCACCTCGGGGCAGATGCTGGCAAGACTCTGAGTGGGGGTGGGAGAGTCCTAGTCGCTCAGGCTTGGGCCAGGTGTCCTCGGGATGGGTGAGCTTGTAGAGAAGTATCAAAACCACACACAGAGACACACGTATGTCCTGAAGGAGCGGGACTATGCTGAGGACGATGTCACTTTGTTTGAAAGTAGTGGTTTCCACCGAGTCCTGTTGGCTCAGTGGTTGAGTGCTCGGCCGCTAACGGAAAGGTTGGCGGTTTGAACCCGCCAGCGGCTCTGGAGGAGAGACTTGACGGTTTGCTCCTGTAAAGATGGCCCTGTGGGGACCCATCTGCTCTGTCAACTTTGGCCCAAATCACAGTAAATCAAAATGCAACCCCACGGGGCAGTTCTCCCGTGTCACTCAGGGTGGCGGCGAGTTAGAGTCAACTCTGTGACACCCAGCACCACCCCTGCAGCCAGTATGTAAGAAGGGTTCCTGCCTGCCCGTGGCTCCTTCACCAGCCACCGCAATGCTTGGTGGCTTAAAGCAAAAAAAAAAGTCATCAAGATGGCACTGTTGTCTCAGAGAGGAGGAAGAGATGTTAATCACACCTGAGATTTCATTGCCAAGAACGGGAGGTGTCTTAAACAGAACAAAATGTGCTATCTGTACATCTAAACTATCTTTATGGTGAGTGCGTGTCTGTTAACATTCCTTCTGCTTTTATTTGTGTTCGAAACACTTGACCATGAAAGATAAGGATGTTTCTAAATATCCGAAGAATAAAGAGCTCTCATGGCGTAGTAACTAAGGCATTTGACTGCTAACTAGAAGGTTGGCGGTTCAAACCCACCAGCCACTCCACAGAAGGCAGATCGGGCCATCTACTTCTGTAAAGATTTACTGCCTCAGCAGACAGTGTTTCTAGGAATGTATTTGTGAAGGAACATGGTTGTAGTCACTTCTTGGCCATTGCCAGTTACTCAGAAGGAGTGAGTAGTTGCACCTGTGGGCTCAGGACCATGTTCGCAGGGGACATCAAGCTCAATTGGTGTAACATACTACACAAAAGCATTGTTCCACATTCTACTTTGGCGAGTAGTGACTGGGATCTTAAAAGCTTGCAAGCAGCTATCTCGATGCAATGATGGGTCTCTCCTCGTCCCGAGCAAAGAAGAATGAAGAAAACCAAAGATACATAGAAACAATTAGTTCAAGGGACTGGTACACTATGCGATCCTCAGCCTATACAACTATGAGACCAGAAGAACTAGATGGTGCCTGGCTACCACTGTCAACCACTCAGAGGGGGATCTGTGTAGGAGATCCTGGATAGAG